AAAAAAATGTCAGCATTTCAAATATGCAATAATAATAGAACAGTAACTCGCGAGCCTACCTGCAGCTTATACTCCTTGATATCATTCTCTAATCCTGCAACGTCCGACATGGTAGACCTGAGTCTTTGCTTGTGTATATAAGGTAAATTTGATAATCCTTTCGTTGATACGCGAACAAAATAGCAGAGGTATTAAGCGGCGCTTTTTTGAAATCAATGTTAAACAAAGATACGGCAATATGATATCAAGAATGTGTGTTGGCGACAAGAAACAGTAGGATACTCAAATCTCGAGAGGCGATAACCTTAATCTTACATATGCACGTGATACGGTACTACTAAGAGCCGATGTTAATTACTAACTTGGGAATTTCTCGTCTCGATCTTATCACAACCACATCTCAAGTTTACCAATCTACGTCACAGAAAGTCACCGTACGTTAAACACCCAAATTTAATAAAGGGCGGGGGGAATGATTTCCGCGTCAACGAAAGCATATGCCAACGGACAGGCAGTTCCATCTTGACGTTATTCACGCAGACTCGATCATCACGAAGTTCACTTCTAACCAAACGAAAAATGCAAGGCTTCAACATGGGACGTTATGTCCCTCCTGATCAGGAGGGATTAATGAGTGGAAACCAGTTGCATGGAAAGCACGCTTTGGGAGCTCGAGCGAATAAGATTTCTCAGGGTATTCTGACGGTACGATTCGAGATGCCATATTCTATCTGGTGCACGCATTGCCCGAAGCCCACCTTAATAGGACAAGGGGTACGATTCAATGCGGAGAAAAAGAAAGTAGGAAACTATTTCTCGACGCCGATCTATAGTTTTCGCATGAAACATATTGCTTGCGGCGGTTGGATTGAGATACGTACGGATCCAAAGAATACAGCGTATGTGATCACTGATGGCGCGAGGAAACGAGATACAGGCGAAGATAAAGTCCTGGACGGGGATACCAAAATATTGTCCGAGGAGGAGAGGGAGAATCTAAGAAACAACGCATTTGCATCTTTAGAGGGAAAGGTCGAGGAGAAAGAAAGGCTAGTAGGTAGTAAGAGACGACTGGAAGAGTTGCAAGATCTTTCTGAACAATGGGAAGATCCACATGAAGCGAATAGAAAATTAAGAAGAGCTTTTCGAGAGGGGAGAAAGGCGCGAGAAAAAGAAGCTGGCGTAGCATCTGCACTACAAGATAAAATGAGTTTGGGCCTTGACTTGTTGCCGGAGCACGAGGAAGATATAAGGAGGGCGGGTTTCGTTGAATTTGGAAGTATAGATTCTCCAATCAATATCAACAAGACAATTTCGAAGCCTCTCTTTGAAATTGACAGCCAACCGTCTACAGCAGACAAGAAGGTCTCAAATCTCTCGCGAAGAAAGCAAGCTGAGGCATTGGCTGCAAAACAACGTAACGATGCCGTGGCTGAGATCAGAGGTAATACAAGAGCTGCGATAGATCCGTTCCTTGTCAACAAGCAATCAAACGGCGCCAAAGGCATAGCCAAAACTTTGCTAGCTGGTGTTAAGAGGAAGATATCCACACCCGTTCTTGAAGACGCTTCGCCTATACCAAAGGTGACTGGTTTGGTCGATTATGATTCCGATAATTGATTATTATAGAAGGCATCTAGGTGGAGTTCTGGCGTTGTGGTCACGGGATTTTTTTCGATACCCTTTTGCTATTTTGTTATGCAATGTCTATGGACAATGGAAAGTACGGAGAATGAAGAGAATATTCCCAGTAGGCTTGAAATGCCTAACAGGCACCACGTTTTCATTGTTTATGAGGCTACCAAACATTTGTCTGTCAGCCTAGCCGATTTTGTCCTCAACATATGGTGGAGTCCTGCATGAAGCTTATACATCAACAGTAAGTTGGTCTCGTCTAGACCTGCAAGATGCCTTAGCATAGCCTTTTTCTCAATACTTTCGCAGCGGAACCGCTTGACGCACGAGCCAATGCCGGTCCTTCACTGAGAACAGAACACTTCAAAAGTCATCAAGTGAGTGGCCTCTTGTTGTTACTGAGATCTGAATATTATCAACATCTTTTTCACCAAATGCAATGGTTACTATAATTTGGAAGCGTAATTTTGTCACCGGACTCAACTATTGAATTGGGAAGGATGAAATGCTAAGAGTTATGTAGCACTTTTCCTATGACCCACCCAATCACCCCTTTGTTCCTTCCGCCTTGTCGTACGTTAATCAAGACGGAAATTACCGTTTCAACAAAAGTTTTGTTGCATATCTGAATGACGATGTGTTTTTTTACCAAGTCTTATCGGTGGCAGTGAGTAAGCTTATCAGACGAGGCGGATTCGTCGTGCAAAAGCCTCATCTTTACAAATCCCTCATCGTTAGCGAAGAAGCAACTGTTCTTGCAACAGGAATGACATCAAGAGTGAATCTAATTCTTTTCAGATTGTCATCCTCCCCAAATAGTATTCCTCAAAACCCGGTTGTTCTGCCTATTCGATTTCTACAGATCAGCAGTATGTCAATTTTATAATCTAATCGCGAGGCCGTATCTTCAGCACTCTCAAGTCTCCGACCTCCGACATAAAATGCATGAGTTGTATTTCCAGGTCTCATGAAACGACTTAACATCACCCTCAACTTTTTCTTCGCTCCGGGTCTAGGCGCAAAACTCTTGAGACAATATCAATGGACATTCGTTTGGGAATAGGGGCAATCAGAGGTTCATTCTTCGTCATGTAGCTAAATGAAAGCCAACACTCAACTTTAGTACCCTCTTAGCTTCTTCACTCATGATTATGAAGGCCTGGCAATCTCCTGCCATTATTTATGCTTCGCTGTGATTTAGTTAGACTGCTGATCGTAAAATCCGACTTGTTGCAGGTGGGTGAGTTGGTTTAACATTACTTATCTATCCATACACTCCGGGTATCACGCAACGCATAGGGTTGTGCCTTTTCTATGGCCAGCGTTCAATGCTCGGAGCCGCACAGGATTGATAACTAATGTATAGTATTTGTTGATCTAACGATGCTCTATACATCGGTTTTTGTTCGATTGTCAGGTTTGTGTCAGATTATGTTGCCACGTGATCGTCGATAAGAACCTCCGTGCAACCTGCATATGTCCAACCTCGTAAATGATAAATATTATCTCACAATCCATCCACAATGTTACACTGCCTTCTATTGAAGTTTTACCAGTGAATCTGCCAATACACAACAACTGGTATCTAGGCAACCATGGCGTGGGGTTAGGCAAACTGCGCCACTCAGCCTTACACAAAACTCTACAAATAATGCACCTGCATCCCCAAAGTATCCTACCAACTATTCCCAGATCCTATCAACTTTCTGTAATCAAAAAAGTCATCAACGCCCATCTTACATTCACAATGGCGTCCGCAAACTCGATGCCTCTGCAACGCGCTTCTAGCTCCAACCCCGATCACGGGCCTAGTAACGATATTGCCTCATTCAAAAAAGTACTTGCCTCCTCCACTCGAGTTCTCGCTCTTTGCGGTGCGGGTCTTGGCGCTTCGTCTGGTCTTGACACTTTTAGAGGTCCAGGTGGCATGTGGAGAAACTACCGCTCGCAAAATCTTGCTACCCTGGATGCTTTCACCAGAGATCCGGGCTTGGTTTGGCTGTTTTATTCATATAGACGTCATAAGGCTCTTGCTGCGGAACCGAATAAGGGACATTTCGCGCTGGCGGAATTGGCGAAGAGAATGAAGAAGGATGGAGAAGAGGGATTTGTGTGTTTGACGCAGAATGTTGATGGTAAGTTTGGGAGAGATGCATCTTATGTTGTCTGTTATCATATTTTGTGGCCGAAAGTACTCGAACTGGAGGTGATCGAGAGTTGTCAAGTGGCAATCTCTCAACTTAAATCCCCAATTCAACCTCAATTTTTGAGCTATTTACCTTACTATTAGGGGCGATAGACCTAAGTCTTTACTAATCCAATCAGGTTTGGCTCAACGTGCGGGTCATCCAGAAGGCTCCCTCAAACTTCTTCACGGCTGTCTTTGTGACATCAAATGTGCCGACCCTGTTTGTTCTTACCGTGAACGTAACAATTTCGACGATCCTTTTCATCCATCTATCGCAATCACCAGCGAGGATGATATCAAAATTCTTCCCGCAGCTACGGAAACGGTGAGACCTTACATCCCCCTAACCCTCAGCCCTGCAATGCTATCTCGAGTTGGCCCGGAAGTCCAAGTACGATGCAACTTCCTCAAAGTCACCTATAGCTAATGTATATCTAGCAAGCAATGATCACTTATCTTGATCCAAACAAACAAACAACCACGATCAATAAAGAAGAACTTCCTCATTGTCCCCAATGTGCCACTGCTCTCTTACGTCCGGATATCGTATGGTTTGGAGAAGCTCTCCCAGAAGATACTCTAGATGAAGTAGATCGATGGATTGACAAAGCACCTGTTGATCTTATCTTGGTCGTTGGAACAACGGCAAAAGTATATCCGGCAGCAGGATATGTAGATGTTGCGAGGGACGCGGGTGCAAGAGTTGCAGTGATCAATATGGATGCGGATGGATTGGGTAGTGCGGGTGGATTAGGCAAGGATGATTGGTTGTTTTTAGGTGATGCGGGTGCGATTTTGGACGAGATTTTGAGTCCTTTGAACGATGGGGAAGAAAATGGAAATGACGAGGAGAAGGCTTGAAGCTGTGATGTGGCGTACAGAAAGTCGATTGTGATTGAAATACGAGACTATTGAAAATCATGTCATGGTGGCGAGCTTGACCATCAAAATGACTGCATTAATTCATATAGTCTATTGCTCGTTTTACTGAATGAAGACAGCCTCTAGCACTAGCGAGACTTCAAAAGTTCGTTGACGTCAATAAAATTCAAGTAGTCAGAAGTCGATTTGCGTTCATAGTGTTGAAGTTTGCCTTGGCGACTGGTCGTTCGCTTAATCGACGAACGCCTTCCCCTTTGATTGAAAGCCTACGGCCAATCCTGATACACCATCCACATCAATATATCTCAAACACTTTCTCGCTAATCTCCAATCCCAGCCCTTCTCCATTCATAAACCCGTTTACATACACTTCCCCCAGAACCGTAAACCCATCCCGTTCCTCGAACCCTCGTCTCCTCAACAAAACAGGCCATCTACATCCATGCAACACAGCAATCACATCTCCCTCTCTTGAAAATGGAAACGTAACACCCATTACGCTGTTCCCCCTCCCGTCCTCGGTCGTCATACCCGTGTAGAAACATCGATCCTCCATTGCCATTTTGAGATAGTAAAACAGTTGGCTCACTAGCTCTGCATCATTCTCTCGCAGTGGTGAAGTTTGGGCGAGAAACATATTACATATCTTAAGAAATACCTGGACTGGTAAGTGGTGTGATACGAGTTCGCCTATATAACCCGTTTTCAAAAGCGTTTTTCTCAGCGCTGCAAATAACGCGACTTGGTTAGAGCTATTGATATCATATGTCTTATGGAACAATTCAAGTATAGAGCGAAAATCTAGAGGTCCATGATCATCCACTGGATGTACGATATGAGTAATAGTAGCAAGATGTACGCCTCTACAGTTTAACATATTGCCATCCTCGGAAATTTGTGCATTGATAAGCATATTCCCCGAGGCGTTCCACTGAAACAAATGATCCGCAGTTCGACCTCTTAAGAGTCCAGGACGAAGACCAGTACCATCTCGAATACAAGACCAATTGGGTACCCATGTTGGTAGTGAAGATAAATCCTCGTGTGAGCCCGAAGGACAATGACATTTTGTGTTTTCATCAGCGCAAATTATTTCCAGTCGATGTGTTGTTTCAATAATCAGGCGAGCAACATCTTTGTATATTTCAGCCACGCTCTTGGAGTAATCAATTGTCAGTTTCTGGTGGTATGTGTTGGAAAGTCCGGCCAGCCCATAAACTTTATCTCGTGGATCTCTGCATTCGAATCTGCGAAATGTTTGGAGAATATCGAGAAGTTCCATAGGCCTGGCTGTTGGGTCTGAGAAATTTAGTTTGCCATCTAGGAGCGGTAGATTGGCAGGGATTCGAACAGATTCGATGACATAGGTTGTGTATGGCGGAAGAGTTTCAATTTCGCTGTTGTCTAGATATTGGAGTGCTAGACTTATGGCGAGAAGAGGGAGGAGGGGAATGAGCTCCTCGCCAACGTACACCCAGGTTTCAGAATTGCTCAGGACTTCTTGGACAATCCAGAGTCGGTTCCAGTAAGTTGATTTGTGAATCTTCTCGAGTGCTTCCCAGCATTTATCGAACTGAGGATTTTGAAGAATGGTAATAAGTTTGGTGTTGTGTGATCTTAGAAGCGATTGAGTAGTGTTCCAATGATCATTTCCAAAACTGTCGATAATGGCAGCGAGTTCCCTTTGACCTTCACAATGAGGAATGCTTGGCCAAACTAATATGCGGGAAGCATGCTTATAGATTTGATGCATGATGGATACCTGCTGATTTCTTTCTATCAAATCCTCTTGGTTGATACATAAGGCATCTGCCCAAAGACGAGTCTCTGGTGTAAAGCAAGGCTTTGGCGGGGACGTTCGCTGAGTCGTTTTTACTGCCGCTTCGGATCGAAAGTACTTGAGAGCATCCAGTAGGTTCCTCCCAACTTTCGTGGGCAATCCATCAATAGCTATGCGGGCTGATGGCAACCCTGCTGAACATTCATCGGGTATCGTATCACCTGTGGAATACCCTTCATCATAGAAAACATCGCCCCATGTGTAGGAAAGTGCAGCAAAAGTAGGCTTGTCCGCCAATGAAACGTATTCAAATGTACATGCCAGAATCTCATCAAGAAACCCTGTTTTACCTGGGAGAATTCTGAGCACCCGAATCTCCTGGATTGTGTCATCGAGTGATCTATAAATAGCACTAGCCATGTATACATATGTTGAGCGGTATGAATAGTAGATAATGACGACGTTCAACTGCAATGTCTACTCCCCGGATAAAGGTGACTAACCATTAATTTGTATATACAAGATTGATGTCGTTACAATCCCCAAACAAAAAGGAATCCATCATAGCAAAGATTAAAGCATGGATAGAAATAATAGTAGTGATGTGGCGCACTGCACAGCCAATAGAGACGCAGAGAAACTCAGAATGCAGTTCGAGATCCTTCATGCGGGCATCGATCTTAAATAGAAAATTGTAGTTTCTAGACATGTATCTTGTTAACACCGTCGCACTTGCTAAGGAAATAGGAATATCTTTAGGTATTTAGATCATAGGTCGTAAACCTCATGCGCAGACCATACCTATCCCGTCCAGACATCTCAGGGACCAATCAAAATCTACCTACCAGACGAGAAGAGAAGTCTACAGCTCAACCAATCCAATTTGATTAGTCCTTAGCTTCAAATATCCACATATTCCACTATTTCCCACATTCCATAGCAATAACCTTTCTACTCACTTTTTTTTCCATCTTTGAAAATCTATTTATATTTTATTATACGTTTGAATCATCCATCAAACATCAAATATCCTCAAATCCGAATTAGTGTAGGGGTTAACATAACTCGCTTTCAATATCACTTGATAGAGAACCGAGTAGCCCCGGGTTCGATTCCCGGATTCGGAAACGTTCATTTTGCATTTTTTGTATCTATTTGAATCTTTCTACTTACTCTACACCACAGACAACACCATCTTCTTTGACACTCTTTTTGGCAAATCAATCTCCCTCACTCTTTTTGCTACATTCTAAGAGAAGGTGGGGTTAAGAGGAGTAGAATCACATGATATATATAGTGGAGACAAGAAGAAAGAAGAAAGGAAACCTACTGCGTAATAAATTCCAACAATCGAGACTATCGATTTCTATATCGATGATGATGACGGTGGTTATTGATTCAGTTGAAGTGGAGACTAACTATTGCAGAGTAGGTAGGTACTTAAGCAATGGATTCCTTGTACCTCCTACGCATACTTTGCCATCAATCAATCTCGCAATCTAATGCAAAAAGGGACCAAAAACCTACCAATCGGCACATATCAAGCCACGATAAAGAATGAATTTTGGGCTAGACAGATGCTAAATACATTAGATCGACACTAGAAGAATGTAAAACTAGCTACTGCGAATAGATTGCTTGGCATTACTCTTTGATGTACCGGTAGCTTCTTTTTCTTATCTCTCTCCCATGAATCTTTCACCGACCGAGGCACGCGAGCAATTCCGAGATGGTAATGGTTTCGATGCTAAACAATTTATATTTCGCAAGCTATGCTATGTACAATCTTATTATACTATGATGTTATGCTAAATTTGTCCCAACTCCAAAGAGAAACAAAATCCATCTGGTATCCCTCTAATAACCAAGACCATACCTAAACTATGCAATCATATCATATCATAACATCCCACATAAACTTCAAATCCCAGTGCGACTTCCAGAATCCAAACTCCTTCCCTTCTGCCCCCTCAGACATTACTATTTCCCCAATGCATCTCCAAGCATCTCGGTAATAGCAATGACCTTTTCCTCTTGAAACCTTCTCCCCACAATCTGCACGCTCACATGCGCACCATCATAAACTTCCGGATCATCTGATGTTCGTTAGCATTTCTCTTTCAAACCTGCCAAGATCTTGGTACAAAGACCCAGACAACAAATGAAGATAACGAGTGATACGTACAGCATTTCCAAACCTTTTCATCCTCTGCATTTAGTGGTTTATACTCTGGATCGAAAACATCCACACTTTTATCCACCGTCGTGACTGGTAAGATTGCAGCGCTATAATCGAGAAGATTGACAAAGGTCGAATACGCTATGCACTCATGATTAGCTCTATCCACCTTATCTACTATCATCAAGAAGAACACATACCAATATAATCAAACGTCATCGTGAGATTCGCAGGCATAGGAGCCAACGGAGTAATGATCGCATCGATAGCTCTACCAGTACCAGTAAGTGCGACAGTGCTGTTCCAATAGTCCATGTATTCTTTTTGGTATTCGCGTTTCTCGACATTAACGGCGGCGATGTCGAAACCGGTCATTTGAGGTTTGAGAGTACTGTAGTGACCTTGGATTTGAGGAATCATGGGTTCGCCGGAGAGTGCTAGGGCTTCGTGAACTAGAGGCTGTGAGTTTATAGGTTGGAAAGATTGGAACGTTGGAGGGACAAACCATCTTTTCCTCCGTCGAAAGACCATGCTTTACTCTAGTTGGTTGTTAGGAAGTAAATTTATTTAGATAGAGGGAGGAACTTACTCCTATCGCGCATCCTCTTTGATGAGAAGGTGGGCTCCACTAAATTTTTGTGATTAGCAACTATGTATGTAAAGGAGAAAAATGGGTTTCTCATGATTCATAATATTTGGGTGCGTTTCCAACTCACTTCGATAACCTTGTGTCCAAGTCTCTTGACAGTGTTAACCACGATATCAATAGCTCTAGCAACAGGAGGTTGAGGAGCAACCCCTCTATCGCACTTAAAGACTCCGAAAGCCAATTGGCCGCCACCATTAGATCCAACAGCATCAAGAACCATTTGTTCTTGTTCATCACGCCATGGTATTTCACACACCAATGGATCATGTAGCCACGGTTGAGCACTAAGAATGCTCTTCATGACCAATTTCAAAGATCGAGCTGTTGTGGCAATTGGGCCCACAACCGATAAAATAGTATTTTGTCCAGCCAAACTGTTGGCCATACCTTCATAAGGCATTCTACCTGCCGAAGGACGAATACCATAAAGTCCATTGAAAGCTGCTGGAATCCGAATGCTTCCTCCAACATCAGTACCAAACCCTACTGGACTACCTCTCAATCCTATCAATGCTCCTTCACCTCCTGAACTTCCGCCTGGTCCTAAGAGTCTGTTCTTTGGGTTCTCCGTGGTACCCATAATATTGTTGACAGTCTCACCCGCCATGAGTGTTTGGGGAACGGTTGTTTTACAAAACATTATCGCACCAAGGCTCCGCAATTCTTTGACCATCTCACTCTCAAACACTCGCTCTTTCCCTGTACCTTTCTTTCCTTCAAAAGTTCCAATCCAGCCTACATAGCCCATCGTGGTTTCCACACCTCTGACGTGAAACCTAAAGAATTGTGAGAAACTTGCGTCTACCAAATAGAGCGAACTTACTGGTCTTTCAAGCTGACTGGTAATCCATGCAGTGGGCCAATTGGCATTTTGTGTTCAGCCAAATAATCGTCCAGTTTTTGCGCTTCTGAAATAGCATCATCGAAAAAGATTTCATGCAAACAATTAACCTACATCAATATTAGAATCGCTGTTCAAATTTGAGGTTAAATTGCTGACCAGTTGATGCGCCAAAGCCGCCCTGTGACAGAAAGCTTCACAAACTTCTCGTGACTTCCATTCGCCACTACTAGTTTTCTCTACAATTCCCACAGCATCCGTTTCAGTAATCTCGATCTCTCGAGCGGAAAGAAATTGCTGAATGTAATCGCCCGTTACATCTTTCTGTTCCTCGACCGAAGGTATCGAGTCCAAGCGCCATTTCTCAGGGATCAAACCATTAACCGATTCACGCTTATTCTTTGCGATGATTTGCCAATCCGAGGTGATTGGATTTGAATGAAGTTGCTGGTTTCCCTCAAAAAACTTCCCGTACCAATAAGTCTTAATTTGAGATGCGGTAATGACGAGAGAATGTAAAATGTGTTTGCTCTGAATGTGCCACAATATATCTGATTTCGCTGGTTGGGTCGCCGCCCAAGAACCCATGATAGGCAAGGGCGACTGGCTATCTGCGTCGCCACCCATAATAATTTCTCTCATTGTCGTGTGGTCCATGAAAGAATAAAAGATTGAGATTTATGTTGACAGTACAAAGGGGTGTCGAATTTTTATATGAAATTTTTGCTCCAACTGATAAGGAAATGTGTTGTTGTGGATTGTTATCAATGCATCGGGTAGACTCTAATTTAGTCGGAAACTATCGCGTGGTGGTGGTGTAAGCATAAAGGGGCTAAGTTGAAATTGGCGAATCAACGGTCCGACTTTCGCTCTCGCACTTGTCGCACATTCAAATTGATTCTTTTATCCGTCATGAAATGTGGGAACTTTTTTATATCCAATTCGAGGTCTGCGAGATAATCTGGGCACGTGCTAGGAATTATCTTTGGAACTCCATGCCAAGCAAATCGAGAATCCTTCTGCATATAAAGTACATCGCCAGACCTGAGACGGAGAACTAAATGGTCGTTTTCGGATTTGGGGTTGTCCAAGGCGATCATGAAGATACAATCACAACCAAGACTGATGCTAACAAGGCCGCGATCAACACTCTCTGCGCCATCCCGATGTAATTGTAAAGTGTCTTTTGGAGAATAAAAATTGACAATGGCTGCTTGCGGTTCCATATCAGGGAAAAGCCCTTCAACAAGATTCGCAATATCACTTGGGAATTTTGGTGGCTCCTCTTCCGGATATACTTTGTTTGTCCAGTCATATTGCCCCCCAAGAGTAATCCAGCGTAATTTTTTCATCATGACTTCCAAGTAATTTAATGCTTTTGGGTGTACTGTTGGATCCTTCGGCTTGGCAACAATTGATTCCCCAGAAGCAATTTCACGAGGTGGAAATTTGACATCGTAATGGGCATGTAGATTGGTCATGTGCTTTGGATCCAGAAGATCGCGGTGTACTATACGCCGGATCAACTCTTTCTGAACCTCTGGGGGAATGAGAGATGGAAAAACCATGAGACCTAGATCATGATTAGAAGTTGTTTTGCCCAAGGCTATTGGAAGTTCGGAGGAAAGAACGTAGAAAGAAATACGGGTTGGTCTTTTAGATGCAACAAATTTTGAGGTGCAAAGAAGTATGAGTATTTTAGTCTTTCAGCCAATCTGAATCTTTTGAATAGGCTTATTTTTTTGGTCATTTGTAGCTGTGGTAGAAGAAAGAGATGTTGAGATTCCTACCAGGTATAAGTTCAGAACCATACGATGAGCCTTCTAGTTGTAATCTAGACAAAGGTAACTCATGATCAAGTGATCCGGTCGAACACCTCTTTTGAGAGGTATTTAGAGGAGCAGCAGTCATAAAGTCTTGAAAAGCTATGTTGCACGCCTCTCTGGGTAGGGTTTCTAGATTAATCATTCCAGTGATAGAAGGAGATTCTTCGGTTGTAGTATAAGTGGTCTGTTTACAAAGCTTGAATGCTTCTTTCAAATGCCGGGGAGCACTTTGATGAAGCTCCTTTTGCTCCATCTTGGCCGTCGGTGTTGTGGGTTGATCTGGAAGGGCGTTCCCCATCTTCGCGGTTGTTGGCAGTATGTCGACGAAGGAAAGTATTTTCCCTGTTGATCGATTTGATAAGATTAGGTAGTTGGTTGAAAACTTTCTCCCGTATGGGGTGTTTGACTAGTACAAGGATTGTGAAGTTGTCTTGTGAAGTGTTCCAATCAACAGTTCTGATCTGACTCAAGCTTCCAACGAACGAGGAGGAGTCACTGTGTACTAAGTGTAACCTTCTTAGGTAGGTAGTTGATCGAATCGTGCCTTACCTACAGAAAAAAGGTAGAGGAGAGGTAGAGCTCGCACCGACAAGGATCATGAATGCAATTTTGTATTTTTTATACGGTTTTTGACTTTTCGGCATTACTCATTAGAACCTAGTACAGTCAGTATATCCGACCTCGCGTCAAAAACGCGCCCGCTTATTCCGCCTGGCCCTGGGTTACGATTTGTTTAATGTTTTGTTTGGTTGTTTGGTTGTTTGGTTGTTTGGTTGTTTAGTTGTTTGCTTATTCTCTTGTTTACTCCTGAGCTTGAGCACGAATAATAACAGAACGACAACACTAACAATACTACAAACGATACCGTACGAATTCTTCTTTCTCTTTCTCTCCACCTCACTTCAATTCGAGTCCAAATTCGAGTATCACGAGTATCACGACACGAAAGATTCTACGGCAACTTAATACAACAACAATCCTTCTCCACAACGATCTACTTATAGCCAATTCGCTACCCTTCCTCTCATTTACGAATCCTTCCACTCTTTGCATAGGTCCATCTTCTTTCAAAATAGATGCTGTTGTTACCATAAACCCAGGATCAATTACCATTCCAAACTGCCCCTCCTTCACCGCCCCACTTCGACGGACAAAAGCAGATTTATTTCAACCTGACCTCAACGTTCTTTAAACCTTTCAACATCAAGTATATTCGACAATGGAGAACTATCAGAAGTTGGAAAAGATTGGAGAGGGTACGTTCTATGCGCGCAAGCTCTCGGCCAAAAGAATCGTCTCACAGAGTCTTTTGTTCATTGAATAACAAGGAATTTTATACTAACATTATTCACGCGCAGGTACTTACGGTGTTGTTTACAAAGCCAAGGATCTTTCCCATCCAGGACGTATTGTTGCTCTTAAGAAGATTCGACTCGAGGCAGAAGATGAAGGAGTTCCTAGTACCGCCATTAGAGAAATTTCTCTCCTCAAGGAGATGAATGATCCAAATATTGTTCGACTTCTCAATATTGTTCACGCAGATGGCCATAAATTATACCTCGTCATGGAGTTCCTCGACCTCGATCTTAAGAAATATATGGAATCTCTTCCAGTTGCCGATGGTGGTAGAGGTAGAGCTTTACCGGAAGGATCTGGTCCAGATTTGGGTAGAATGGGTATGGGTGATGCTATGATCAAGAAGTTCATGAGTCAATTGTGCGAAGGCATCCGATATTGTCACGCCCATCGAGTTCTTCACCGAGATTTGAAGCCACAGAACTTGCTCATTGATAGGGATGGTAACCTCAAGCTTGCTGATTTCGGTCTTGCTCGTGCTTTTGGTGTCCCTCTTCGAACATATACCCACGAGGTTGTTACCTTATGGTACCGTGCTCCTGAAATTCTTCTCGGAGGTCGACAATATTCAACTGGTGTTGATATGTGGTCTGTTGGATGTATTTTCGCGGAGATGTGTACCAGAAAGCCATTGTTTCCAGGTGACTCTGAAATTGACGAGATCTTCAAGATCTTCAAGTAAGACACAACCTTCTACATTTTCCCAATCTTCCTCAATGGAATTCATTACTATACCTTGAGTTTAGCTAACATATCAACAGACTTCTAGGTACACCTAACGATCAAGAATGGCCCGGTGTCAGTGACAAGACCTGTTTCCCCGACTTTAAACCATCGTTCCCCAAATGGCAACGCGACATGAGCCAACCCCTTTGCACGAATCTTGACGATAACGGACTGGATCTTCTCGAATTGATGCTTGTCTATGATCCAGCTGGACGTATTTCTGCCAAGCAAGCATGTTCACACCCATATTTTGAGGAAGGAAGCGCGGCATACTCCGGACGAGGCGCAAGCACTACATCTACATATAAAACTACAAACGGATACCACTGAGGACTGAAACATACCAATAATTGCATACAATGGATGGCTATGAGTATGCGATAAGACGAGCTGAGACGATTTATGATATTAAAAACCACGGGAGTGAAGGACACTAAACGGAAGGAAAGAATGGTTGGGGCGGACGAGGAAAATGGATGAATAGAGCTATAGCTATACATCAAATAGCCATGAGCTTCAGGATAAGAATTGCATGCATGGAGGGGTTTTATTATGAATGGAGTGGATCGGATACACTGTTATGGCTGACAAGCTACATTTCATTTTCTTTTCCCTTAATTTACTCCATGTTACTACCCTATGTTTTCTGCGCCTTTTTGTCTTTTTTTATACCTACACTTTTGCCAGTCTTGATGGACAGACAGACAATTAATGGATGGCGTCTTTCTAGCATGCCTACAGTCCATTTTTTATGCTTGTAGTTGTATTCCAAGAACAAAAATATACACCTTCAGATTTGGGTTTGAGGATGTGTGACTGAGATGTGATTGATATTTTTAAGTGTGTATTGCGATGTTGTTGCAAAAGTTATGTATACCTTTTCCCAGTCTTGAATGATATCCATCTATTCATTCGACCATCTAGAGTTCCCAAACGCCTCCGCTTATTTCACTACCTCTTTGAGTCTTCATTTCTATTTCCCTACATATTTGCATCTCATCCTTTCCTCTCTTCTTTCTTTTCCTTTTCTTTCCGTCCCAACTCGTCTATTTTTCATCCCTCCTCCAACCTTTAATCTTCATCTCCCCTCTATTCACTCTTCCCCGTCTTTCCCCCCAACAACCACCCATCCCTCTTCTCAACCCCCCAATTCTCCCTCGCCAAACTCCCCCTCGCAACCTCAATATCCGTCTCGATATCCCTAACCAAAGACTCCTTATCCACATAATCCAGCTCCGGACGAATATACCCCAGAATCTCCACGCGCATGTTGCTTCCGTAGAAATCCTGGGAAAACTTGTGCAGGAGGTGTACTTCGGCTGAGCGGACCGTGTTGCGGTAGAAGGGGTTGTAGCCGATGGACATTACCATGGGGTAGAGGCGGGTGGTTTGGGAGGTGGGAGAGGTGGTGGAGGGGGAAGTTTGGAGTTCGGGGTGAGAGGAGGGAGGTCGAGAGCGGCGTAGCCGAAGTAGACGCCTGAGGGGGCGGTGTCGATCCAGGGGACGTTTGTTACGGGGATGTTTGCGGTGGGGATTCCGAGCTGGGGAGTTGTTAGGGTTGGTGGGTTGGGGAATTTGTAGATGTGGATGGGGAGGAAGAGAGGGGGAGAAGACGAGGAGGGAGGAATGGAAAGAGAAAATATAGTAACTTACTTCTTTAGATCCGCGACCAAATCCAGAAACTACTTCACCTTCCATTCGTAAAGGATAAGGAGATTCGGGACCGCTTTCCGAACCGACGATTAGAGGGCGGGGTTCTTTGGTCGGCATTGTAGAGGTGAAGGTGGAAGTGAATGAAGATTGGAGAAGTGCGGTTTGGAGAGGATTAGTGGATGAGAGATTTTGGGTAGAAGAAAGTATGTATTAATGAGGAAATGACTGATGGATTGATTGATTATAATTCCATAGCTAGCTACTCGATGGCGAATGGTGGGGTGGAATAGAATGATATGCTAAGCAAGGCTACCTAGGTACCTACATAGAATCATCTCATCTCATTGCGAAGTGGGGGTACGGCTGATGTTACGCCTTGTGCGCCTTGTTGAGCTTTTATTTTACTGATAAGTAATGACTATTAATCCCAAAAAGTCACAATTGTAAATATCTAGATCTAGATCCATGACGCTCCGCTGGGCCACTGCCGTGGAGGCTTTTTCGCTTCGCTCTACGATGAGTTGTATATTATTAAGGTGCCGGTTGTCAATCGTTCCGTCTAGACTCTAGATGCATATAGAAATTCCGAATCGATCTAAAATATGTACTACTTACTATCTCGGTATCTACTAGATAAAAGCTTAGTCAAAGGAAAGTTTGTTCTTGACACTTTCTCCTCGCGTCCGTCAAGTCGTGCAATACAAGATGGCTACGGAGGTAGGAAATACTGGGCATGTAAATTGGAACTTTGGTTGAGTATAAGTAGGTACAGGTACAAAAAGCAGTACAAACACAAATACAAATACAAACCTACCAAATAAGTCTTACAAAAAGCAAACAAGCTCCTCATCCACAAGTCATACACAAAACCAAAAGTCTCCTTTCCACGTGGCAACGGCTATCGACAGTACCTTTGTACCTTGCTTCAACCTTCTTGTAATCTTACATACACAGATACTCATAATATCCTTTTGTATCCACAGGCACATATCTCCACTCCATCTAGATTTTTGTATCTTTGTATCTTTGTATCTTTGTATCTCTGTACCTTTGCAGTATATCCTACCTTTCCACGCGCAAAGTTGCAAGGAATGGATATCGATGAGATCTAGCGAGCGACTCTCGATACATCTCTAGGTACTAGTTGAACGGACTACTTTATATACCATTTTTCAATCACAACCCAAATCTAGTTCATGCAGGAAACAAAATGAAACTTCCAGACTCAAAAGAAGGTACCATGCTAGGTGGATAGTTGATTGCGCGACACATCCAAAAATACACAAGAAATTTAAAGTGGCTGGGAAACCAACGCGGTGACGTGACGTGAAGTGAAGTGTAACCGGTGATGGGTTGTCAAGTGTCAATGCTTAGGTACTTGCTATATATTTTACAATCAGGATGTGAATTTAGCATTCTTATTTATTCTTATATATTCATTATATTTATTATATTATGATATCATTAAATCATTATCACATATAAATATATAAGTTACATATATAAATAAATACAAGTATCGACTTCACGACATACAAAAAAAAGACAGTCCCAACCCCCCATGTAACCCACGACCCAGCTAGCTATCTACCTACCTACCCAATATCCATCCATACGCGCTTACCCATCCCAATGATCCCCTCCCAATCCCATACCCAATCCCATACCCAAACCCCATCCATCCATCCCTCCCCGCCTCTTAATTTTCCCAACCCCAAGCAATTTGCAAAAAGCGACAAAAAAAAATGTAGATGGCAGGACAACCAAGGTGTGACAAGATACAAGAACCTCTCCATCCATTTCTCTTTTCACTTCTCCCTTCTCTCTCTTTGATTCTTTTCTTCCATTCCGTTCCTCACTTAACATACCTATACATACTGACTCAAATCAAAAATCTCAACTCGACTTATTATCATTTCACTCTTCACTACCTATCTGATTCTGATTGTCTTATCAGACCGGAGCTATCGCATTGTTTATCTACACCGATACGATATCATATCATCTATCGTCGGATTATCCTCAGCCTTGTTCAAATAATTGACCGAGTAGAATTGAGATATCAAGGTATGTGTAAAAACAATAATCAGAATACTCTCTTATGAGTTTTCTTCTTCTGTGGCATTATGAGAGATTATAAATTAACATCGCATCCTAGATTTCTATATCTAAATTTCACATTCACATTCACATTCACACTTCCATCTAAACTCATCTCATCTCACTCCACCAATCCACCCACCAAATTCACCACCCTCAACTTCTCACTCACTCACTCACTCACCCCCTCCCTCACCGCTCACCACAAACCCCAACACCCACCGCCAAAATGCAAGAAAACACCGTCATCGCCATAATCATCATCATCCTCTTCCTAATCCTCGCTCTCATCGCCTACGGCATCTACAGACTCGTCCAGCAAGCCCGCGGCGGCTCCTCGACTATCTCTGGTAGCTCTGGGAGTTCGGGAAGTTTGGCTGACGATTAGATTTTTTTTTCCTCCTTCAAACTTGGATGGGAGAGAGGACGGGAGAGAGGAAGAATGGGAGAGGAAACGAAAGAGCGGTGGGAGAAAAAGTGCAAGAGGAAGTAAACTGTGGAGTAGAAAGTTCCATCTTCATGATTCTTCCTTGGAATTTTGCGGCGTAGGCTTGAGGTACATACCTATGCATACATGCATACATGCGCATCAAAATTACGAATGAAGGAATGAGTTGAGTGGAATGCACGGAGCAAATCATGGAAAGGATGCGGCTTTCACATATTCATTCATACATGCATATGTACGCATCTTCCCTCTACAAGTACATTCGATGGAGAGAGGGAGAGAGATGGACGGACAGATGAGGTATGAAGAGCGATCACTCAATAATCAATGATCGATCAATGACGCGGTGGGATCTGGGATTAGAAATTTACGCGGAACGGTACTGTACGGTATGGTATGGTATGGTGTGGTACAGTAGTAATGAAACTCAGAATCAGGAAAAGGGCAGAAAAAGGACAGGGCGGCAGGACAGCAGGAAGGAATAAAGGGATGAACGATATGTATATGATTCACGATACGATACCATACGATACGATAAGAGCGAGATGGGATGGGATGGGATGGGATGTAGATGGAAACAGAAATGACTTTTTAGATTATGAGGGGGGAGAGGGATCAGTCACGTACGTGTGTGTATATTTTAGCAGCATGGCATAGGCATAGGTATACCTACCCAGTAGGGAGGTAGCATTGGAGTTTTCGGATTTGAGGTTTGGGTTGCATTTGGATTGGATATACCACCATTATCATTATTATCATCATCATCATTATTATGAGTATCATTATCAGGATTACTACAATTAAAAATTAAGATCAATCACCATATATATATATATATCACATATTCCATATATTACCTACTTACTTACATGTTTTGACCCGATCTTTCTTTTCTTTTCTTCCCTTTCCTCTTCCTTTTGAATGAAATTCTCAAAGCGAAAATTAATATTCATTATCATCAAAATCTATACAGGTCAAATAGGATAGGTAGGTAGGTATGTGCAATAACAATAAAATATGGTATCATTCTCGTTCTTGTTCTCACCCTCGTCCTCATCCACACTCTTGGTCAACCAATCAATCTCATATGCCTTCTTCCCTCTCCTTCATTGCACTATCATCATCATCATCATCCTCTGTCTCTACCTCATATCAATGATCCCCATTCTAAATACAAATGTATTCCCCTTCCCCACCCCCAAGATAATCCTTCCCCGGTCTTAAACCCACACACCCAACCCACCAATACCTCTCACCCTCTCCCCTCATCCTTTTATTTCATCATCCTCTGCCTCACCCCATCCCTAGCCCTCCCATCCTCTTCCCTCACTCTTATACCCATATCATATACCACATCATATCATGCATTGCATCGCATGCAGCCATCCCAAAACCCAATTGAATTTCAACCCACAAAAGTCCATTTATCCATCCATCCATCCATCCCTTCCCAAAACCCCTTTAAAAAAAAATCCCAAAATCCATGCCCAAAACATATGCAATGCAATGCTCGTTCCATTTACTTATCCAAAGATGAATATGACATGAATACGAATATGAATGTATGAATATACTAAACCCCAAAAAGAGATCCCCCCTATGGAACCTTCACAAGCGAAGCACTGCTCCACTTTATGAATCTTCTTCTCATCTCATCAATCCATCTTCCCGAAAAGGGGTATATAAGATCCAGTGCAAATGCATATTTCAGATTTCCCAATCCCATTCGTAATCCAATCAAATTCCCCATTATATCCAACACCTTTCGTCTCAAAAACGAATCCAAAAAGACTAGCGCCAATTTTTGCCTTGACCCCTTATGCATGAATGCAAACAAACAAAGCAATGAAAAGAAGCCGTGAAGAAGGAAGGGAGGTATTAAGTTGGTAATATGTATGGAGACGAGAAGGTATCGTATGTATCGTATCGAGTGAGAATGGCGTTATCATGATGAGGAAGGAGGATAAGGTGCCGTAGAATAATATATAAATAGAATCTAGATGCAAGGAAGGAACTATAAATCGTTAGTTTTTATCTCATCACGAGTTTTCACCAATTCCGTCCAATCCATCCCCTTTTCAAGAAGAAAAAGACTCACATTCATAACAATTAACATAGGAATATCAAAGACATCCCTCTTAATTGTCCAGCAAGAACTACAATCCACCTTTCCATCCTGTTGTAACGTCTCAATGCCATTGTTTGCATCAATCTCCTTGATCCTATTACCCATTCCTCCAATCCCAGCCCCATTAAATCCAACAATATCTTTTCGCTTTCCCTTATCACCTTCAGGAGATTGAGAGGTATCCTTTGCAGTTTGATATCTAAGAAGCTTATAACGAGTCGTAACACTTCCTCTACTGTCTCCAAATGCCAATCGTGCAAAATCTTCATAGAATTCAATGACGCTATCATCATCTAACAGTTCCGCGAGGAAGATGGGTTGAGTTTTGCCGCCAGGGTTCGAGTCGGCAAGGTTGAGGGGTCGCATTCTAGGAGTTGTAAAACTTTCCCGACCTGAACTTCCTGAGGATGGAGGACCACTACTGCCTGTATTGGTATTAAGGTTTGCTTCATTGCCCAAAAGGACTTCTTTCCTCCATCCAGTCAAAAGTGTGAATTCTTTATTAGCAGCGGCAATTTCTCCAGTCCTACGACAGACCACTGTTGGCGTGCAGCAGTTCAACATGAAGTCTTCATACTCAAATAAAGTTCTTTGAAAACATTTCTCCATGAATATTAAATCCTGTCGATTGAGGGTTTTTGTACAAGAGATAAAGGATGGTCTAATGGAAGCGAGTGATTTGGCTATCCGAAGTGTCTTGTTTGGCGAGAACCGCTTTTGGATGAAAGCAGTCAAGCTATGGAAACCGGTAGTATACGAATAAGGTTCATGGACTGTATCGTAGATGGATGAAGGATCCCGATTCCTCTTTCCAAGTATACCCGATGGCCCAAGCTTGCCAGATGGGCCTGATTTCGTATCTTGTCGTTTTGCTGGCCTATGAGTTGCCGGTGCTGGATAATTAGTAGCAGTCGGTGAGCTCTCAAATCCCATTGTACTTGCCGCAGGACTCGCATCAGTGCTAGGACTGTGTTGACTACCACTAGTGGCAATTGCGTACGCATGAGGTAAACCATGATGTAGGTTATTATTGCCAAAGACATTTCCTCCATTCTGTCTATCCAAACCTACAGCAAAATCCGGCAATGTATCGTGAGGATAGATTTGATTAAAGGGTGGATTATTAGTGAAAGCCGGATTGTTATTGAAGCCGAGATCGCCAACATTCTGTGGCATTCCTGCATTTGAATCTTGTGGTGGTGTTTCTGCTGAGCCTGATGCCATATGCCCTAGCATTCCAAATTCTAATGCTCCATAATGATTTCCGAAATTTAGCCCTTCTAAATCAAAGTTGAATAGTGCCGGGTTACTGGGATCGAAAAATGCACCGCCTCCAAATGCGGAATGAGAATCGTTTGAAACTTGCGGTAGAGAAATTCCTTGCAGTCCAGCTGGCCGATTACCTGCTGTATGGAAAGTTGGAGATATCGGTGATGGCTGATTGCTTCCAAAAGACAGTCGATTCTGCAATGGCGGTGGCATTTGACCTTGTTGATTGGCTCCAAAAAGTGGATAAGATGGTGAAGTATCAGGCTGAGAGAAAAAGTTTCCCATACCAGGGGAAGGTTCCGTTGGTGTTGATGCGGCAGTGGCTCGATTATTGCTCACTTGTTGATTATAAGTTGGTCCCAAAACAGGTCTGAGAGCTTCCGGGGGTGCATCGTGAAGATACTTTGCTTTCTTTCTGACACCATCCTGGCAGGCATCCGCTAAACCTCGTTTTATACAACGTTGGCATGGACGCTCGTCCCCTATTGAATTCATTCTCAGCACATGTAGCAAATTTCATTGAAAATTTAGAAAATTTAGATAAAAATAAAGAACAAAACAACGAATCGTGAGGCTCTTGGCACGAAAAAGAGCCCCAAAATGAATCCTTGATAAAAACAAACATACCACAAGTTAAATGAGCTCGTTGACAAGCAAAACAAGCTCTTCTTGCCTTCTTTCTTCTGGGTCTCAAGGGATCTTTAGGATCGAATTTTGGTTTTGTAACTGTAGCCGTTGCTCCTACAGTATTTCCATTCTCCTCACCGTCCGGTCTTACTTTTTGTTCCGCCATTTCTTGATTATCGTCCTCTTTTCCTACAACATCAAGCTCTTGCTCATGATCACTATAATCGTTCTCCGAAGCGCCATCCGAAACCTCAGGATCATCTATTTCAGTTTCTCCCGACATCCTGTCTTAAATACCTCACTTGGTACTTGTGCAGAAGCTAGTTCGTTTCTGCGACACCACACTCCAATCAATAGAAGCCCCAGTCAACCTCACTCGCCAATCCTTGAACAGGAGCCCTGCTGCAGCAGCCTCGTCACACAACCAAGGCAACACAGGATGGTGCCGTGAACCGCCCGTCCAGCAACAATGCACAATGACCTTGTTTCCTCACTCCCACACTTCCAGCGCACACTTCTACCACCTTCTTGCGTCTGCGAGCAATCTTAATGCTACAAAGGGTAACCCTAGCGATACTCCGAAATAAATTCTTGCCGCAAAGTAAGTACCCGCGTCTTTTCAATCCCTTACCACGTTTCGCCGCGTGCCTATCCGAACACCAACACGCGTTCGCATGCACCGCTATTTGACCGGCCTAAAATCCTCTCTTTCCGTAATTCCTTCCCAGAAACCAGGTAGGTTTGCCCGACTCGGCCGCTCCGTATTCTCTCGTAATTTCCTTTGACCCGAAATCTCACCCTTTGGTCTTTTCTCTTTTCGACAATCTTGCTTTCGATTCTTTTCGATTCTTGTTTTTTTTCTGCAGCCAATCCAAAACCTAGTCTCTTCGTAAAGCACTACATCCACACATGTATA